GTGTTTGATTCATGTTTGTTTGGTTTAGCTTTCATTGAAGAAAAAGTGTAAGTTGACCAATTCACCCTCCCTCTTGGTCTAACAGAGCCTTTACCTAAAAGCTCGAGCCTAAGGCGTCGGAATTTAAAGAGTTGATTTCAGAGAAAGCCAAGCTCCCAGGGCCTCGAGCCAAACCTCATGGGATCGAGCACTGTCACTCAGAGCTCGAGCCCTGAGCCAAAAGCTCGAGCTTTGAACCCAAAGCTCAAACACTATGAAGGAAGGATCGAGCAATGTTAAAAGGAAGAAAACCCAAAAATATTCTAAGTGTTGATGGAAAAGACGCTTCGAAAAATAGTTAAAAAAATTTGACTGAGTACAAAAGTGAAAATCGAGCACCATCCTTTAAAGCTCGAGTCATATTCAAGAAAGCTCGAGCTTTGCTTCCAAAGCTCGAGCCCGTGCCAAATAGCTCGAGCTCTGCTTCTAAAGCTTGAGCCCTCCATGATAGATTAAAATTATAGGTTACGGGATTTATCCTTTTTAAAGTCTAATTTCACTCAAGATGGGCCAGAAGACCTAAAAGCCCGCCAAAACCTTAATTCTTCTATAAAAGAAGACACAAAGCCTTAGAAGAATTGTCTTTTTTTCTCGTATTGTTTAGAGTTCTCATATTGTGGTGGCGGTTTTAGGATTTTCATAACCTTAGAAGGTGAAGAACCTGAGAAGAGAAGTGTCGTCCGTGACGATGAAGACGACTACAACACAGATGATATTCTGCGTTGTCATGAGTAGCTAATTCCTTTCTTATGGCACTGATGTAACCTGATCTAAGTACTATGGTTTGATTGTTTCAACTTTGGGTATTTTATTTTTTATTACATTATTTTGAGCAATTGAGCTAACTCAATTGGTGTTTTAATGAATTAATAGTTTATGAATAGTTATTACCTTGTCTTAGATATAACTGCTCATAAATTAATCTCAACCCATTCTTATTGGATAGTATCTGGCGAAGCCCTACTGGACATAAGAATGGAGATCATGTAATGGTATTCCAATGCTTTTTATAAATGAATATTCATAGTCTATGCTTAGGAAAGATGGATTATACTACAAAATTAGTTAAAGTAGGTAGATGGATAATCCATGCTAACAGCATATAGGTTATAGTTAATTGAAATTTATAAAACATTTTTCTTTAAAATGAAATTAAACGAATGTTATTGAGTTTAATTCATTTAAAATATAAATTGTTAAAACCCCAAAGTTGAACGATTGGCCATAGTACAAAGTTCGTGGTGAAGTCAAAGCCCTAAGACCTTCTCTCTCTGATCTCTTTAATTTAATTTTAGTTTAATTTCATTTTATGTTCGTGACAACCAATCAATCAAATCCAATCAGTTACCTATAGACCAAAAAGAATTAGATTAGTTAGAAACAAAACAAAGAACATTCATCTGCCTGTGGGATCGACACCCTCTATATAGTCCTATCTTACAAAGATTCGTACTATTGCGAGTGGTAACATTGAGCACACATCAATTTACATCAATGGCTGAACAGTTCAAGACATCATATTCACTGGTTAGCCAATAAATCCAATAATAATACACTAGGGAAGGTTCAAGTCCAAACACTACCTATCCTGATGCAGTAACTTTCCAATAGTACTCTCTCTAATGTCTGCATTTCTTCATTTGCAATTGACGCCAATTTCAATTCATTTGGGGGATTGTTGAAACAGAGCATACAAAACATAAACTTTGGATGAAATTTAAAGTAAGTTCTGCTTTTTTTTTTTTTTTTTTTTTTTTTTTTTTGCAGGTCTATAGACGAACGCTTTCCTCTCCGCAAGGAAATGAACGTGGTATACTTACTTTCTCAAATTCGTTTTCAGGTGAATGAAAAATTAGCTCCAAAGTAAAATGTTTTGATAAGCTTAAATGGGTATGTATATGTGGGAAGTAGTTGTCCCACATTGAAAATAAAGTGAAACCAATTGGAGTATATATGACTCAAGTTTGGAATTTGGGTTTGAGCCCAAGGGCACTCAAGTTTTTAAGAGGGGGAGGACCTAGGCAAGCTTGGGTCCAAACCATTTTCCATTAGTGCACCCCGCCCGCCCTGTCTGGTCTAAGCCTAGGCTTAATAGTAAATCCGGCTAATTTTTTATTAAACGGGGTCTCGACGTTTGGGCTTAATTTTATTTTTAGGTTGGGCTTACTCTGGTGGGTTTTACTATTTTGAATTGGGTTGGCCTTACAAAAAGTTGTATCTGATCCGAACCAATGCATTCAAGGGTTGCACCTAGTGTGAACCAGTGCACCCCAATGAACATATGCTTTTAGTGATGGTTCAGGCTGAACCATTATGTCCCGTGGCAGCTCGGGTCAACCAAAAAGCCACTTGCATGCCTATAAATACCCCCTTTGGTCATTTGCAAAACACACCAAACTTAGAAATCTTCTTTCTACTTTTGAATTTTCCTCTCTTCCTTTCTTCTTTCTTCTTTGCATACACAGTGTTAGTTCGTGAGTTTGAGTATGGTTCAAAGAGACAGTATTACACCGAGCCGGTTCGTCCATTTCTCCCGTTTACAGTGCCGCTACTGAAGAAAGAAAAGTCATTGTATCTTGGTAGAAAGATGTTACAGAGTCCATCAGCACCTTAGCGAAGCGAATCTGTCTTAATGATATAAAATTAAATTCTAACATCGGCTTATTAATCTTTATATATATAGTTCATTATCATACTATCATATAATTATATTTTAGTTTAAGTATATAATTATCATAGTATTATATATATTATTGTTTTATAACAATAATTAAATATATTATTATTCATCATAATATTTAAATAGTGATACTATAGTGTATAGATACATATATACACTATTTTAACAACAATGTTGGGTGATTGGTGTGGTATTTGCTAGGTTTTGTTCTTGTGGTTGGTATATTCTTGGTGATCACATACTTTGGGTTGAGATTCACAAGAGCAAGCTATAATCAGAGGGTGCAAACTAGGTGCACGCCAGGTGTTCGTCAAAAGTTATCAATCAAGTTCAGTGGGGCTCATTTTTTAAAATTATTGCAAACTAAATGGCTCCTAAACACTCCAGAGCTGAAAGGCAAAAGGTGTGGCTGTTAGCTCAACTCCAAAGCGAGCTAAAACTGGTACTCGTGTTCCAAATGCACCAAGGGCGTCCGTGGCTCCCAATGCTTCAGAGGTTATCCCGATGGCCATCCACTGGTGAATGAGAAATGAAGGATTGTTTTTACTCGTAAACACTTTAATTTTCAGTGATGTTGCATGGGACAACTATCACAAAGTTTATGATGCTGGACCAGTGAGAAGTGAAAGGAATGTGGACTTGGCCAAGCTTCGTGACAATGCCGGGAAAAGCTAGTAGATTACATTGAGAAGCACAGATGGTTCTTCTTCACTAGGTTGGATGGCGACCTTGTTCCCAATATGGTTAATTACTTCTATGCCAACATCAAGAATGCCAATCTTCATGAAAATCACTTCGTAGTGTCGATTTTTGGAGTGGATTACAGAATCGATGCCAATCTTCTTGACAATCTATCATATGATCTCTCTTTTGCTATTTGTCATGCTCCCGTTTCCTCTTGCTTTTGTTTACCTTTCTCAATTTGTTCCAAAAAGGAGGAGAGTCAGAATGCTAATCTTAAGGGGGAGTGAGGGAGAGTTCATATAGATACGATGTTTTTGAATCTTTAATAAGATTTCACGGGTAGTTTTTGCTTAATCCATTGCAGAATACAAGTTCAAGTTTAAAGATGGATTCTTTACTTTGTGAAGTGTCAAGAGCAGTTGGATTTACCAACTCCGTTTTACATTTTTGACAAATTGTAATCTTCTTTTTTTACTTAGGTAGATTACAAATTGTTTTTAGGATTTTGTCACGAAATTGCCAAATAAGAAAATTGTGAGATACAAATTTGTAATTGACTAATTTAGGTGTCAAAACAAATTCGATCGAGTTGTAATTTTCGATTTGATTTTCAAAACTAAATATCGAATGTGGAATTGAAGAATGGATCATGTTTACACTTTGGCGCACTCCATGATGATGAGAACATTAATAAGGTAAGCGTGTGTGTGGATTTGTGTGAAACTTGGGTTTAGGAATTTAATGAAACATAAGAAATTTTATTTGGTTTTCACCATTCAAAAATTTTGTGGCCAAATTCTCAATTTGTTGTAGCACAAAGAGGGCGTGAGCAAATTGAAATGACAATAATTGATTTAGTGTATTTTGGAGGTACTTTCGTTTTTCAAAGTCACTTTTCAATTCGGTTGGATTTTGAGTAGATCTTATAAACTGTAAAATCTGTGTTCAAATGGTCGTCAATTTTACAATTCAACAAAATCTCTTATTTTTTTCCCACCCAAAAAAATTAAAAAAAAAAAAAAAAAAAAAAAAAAAATTCTTACAATAACCACCACGCTTTTTGTCACATCCAGAATCATCTTGTAATATTAATTTGATGGTGCTTGCTTCATAACCAGTCAATGTCAAATTACTTAACACGGCCAACTTGCATGCTACCCTAATAAACTCAAATTGTAAGCTAAGAAGATAACAAAATCTCAGCAAGTGAACTAATTAGAAACAAGGTGAGGCGGTATTGCTCGAGTGGTAGAATTAGGCCTTTAGTGTCCCCGCTCTATGATCCTAGGTTCGATTTTCCTTCCCCCAATAACTCCCAACTCTCCTTCCCGGGTCAAAAAAAACAAAAACACCTAACTAGAAAGAGAAATTTTTTTAAAAAAATAGTCATGACTAGATCCAAGAGCTTAGAAGGGAGTATAATGCAACATCATCTCAATCTCACAGCATTCTTGACAGCACAGCACAGGTCTGTTGATTGCCTAAATACCAAACGAACACAATATATAGCAAAACCAGATACAAAAGCCACATATTACAAAAGAAAATTATGAAAACCAAATAAAACATCCTACGGGAATAGGGAATATGTACTCAACAATACCAATTTTTAACAGCTGTATATTATACATATTCCTAACTGACAATGCCCCAGAATCAAAGATTTCGTTAATTGAGCAGTTAAATCAATTTTCCAAAGTTCTGGTAGCTAATCATCTAAATTGAAGTTAACAGAACATCAAAAACAAAAGTTGATTCCTCACATTTCACAAACCAAAAAAGCCCTAATTAATACCCAAATAAAAATTCATATTAATTGTTAAAAATCTGCGGACCAATATCAAGAACAACTATATACAACTTCAAACAAGAAATTAACCAGTATATAGAGAAAGAGCGAGGACCAGATCACCGGCAACGAGTTTTGAAATGCAATCGGAAAGTTGGATTGAGAATACATAATCCGCATGATGCAGCAGATAATCCAAATGTTGTTGTTGAATATGTAATCCAAGAGAGCGGTTGAATCAAGGGATTCAGTTCTTAGCTGCCACAAGTAAACATATAAAGCAGAATAAGTGACTTATAGAAGGAAAGCAATCTGCAGCCTAAGAACATGGATACTCCGTAAAGGGCAGTGGACTAAAGTACTAATTTTATTACTAAAATGCAATGAACATAAAATTTTTAAAGAGACAAAGGGAACGAGAGAAGAGGAATAAGCGTATATAAAGGTATATTTGTTTATGTATTTGTATATTAAGTAACTTAAGGCCGCGGTTTAAATTTTTACAACACCACAAAAATATAGCCCCTCAAGTTTGAAGACCACCTGCAACAACACCATCATCATCGTTATCATTCTTGTCTTGTTCCCGAGTCAACCACCAATAAAATTATAGGCTGGATGTTTCTGAATTCAACCATGCAAAGATGACCAAAAGAGTACTAAAGCTAAAGGAAACCAAAAGAAAAGGCTGACAAAAATTAGGAAGAGGAGCTTTATATATCAAGCTACAAGCATGAAGCACTTCACAGAAGCAACCTACTTGTAATTCCACAATGAAATCCATACAGTTAAAGAAACCAAATATAAATTGAAGTTAACAGAACATCAAAAACAAAAGTTGATTCCTCACATTTCACAAACCAAAAATACCCTAATTAATACCCAAATAAAAATTCAAATTAATTGTTAAAGATCTGCGGACCAATATCAAGAACAACTATATACAACTTCAAACAAGAAACTAACCAGTATATAGAGAAAGAGTGAGGACCAGCTCACCGGCGACAAGTTTTGAAATGCGATCAGAAAGTTGGATTGCGAATACATAATCCGCATGATGCAACAGATAATCCAAATGTTATTGTTGAATATGTAATCTAAAAGAGCGGTTGAATCAAGGGATTCAATTCTTAGCTGCCACAAGCAAACATATAAAGCAGAATAAGTGACTTATAGAAGGAAAGTAATCTGCAGCCTAAGAACATGGATGCTCCGTAAAGGGCAGTGGACTAAAGTACTAATTTTATTACTAAAATGCAATGAACATAAAGTTTTTAAAGAGACAAAGGGAACGAGAGAAGAGGAATAAGCGTATATAAAGGTATATTTGTTTATGTATTTGTATATTAAGTAACTTAAGGCCGCAGTTTAATTTTTTACAGCACCACAAACATATAGCCCCTCAAGTTTGAAGACCACCTGCAACAACACCATCATCATCGTTATCATTTTTGTCTTGTTCACGAGTCAACCACCAATAAAATTATAGGATGGATGTTTCAGTACTAAAGCTAAAGGAAACCAAAAGAAAAGGCTGACAAAAATTAGGAAGAGGAGCTTTATGTATCAAGCTACAAGCATGAAGCACTTCACAGAAGCAACCTACTTGCAGTTCCACAATGAAATCCATACAGTTAAAGAAACCAAATATAAATTGAAGTTCACAGAACAACAAAAACAAAAGTTGATTCCTCACATTTCACAAACCAATATTAACCCTAATTAATACCCAAATAAAAATTCAAATTAATTGTTAAAAATCTGCGGACCAATATCAAGAACAAATATATACAACTTCAAACAAGAAACTAACCAGTATATAGAGAAAGAGTGAGGACCAGATCACCGGCCACAAGTTTTGAAATGCGATCAGAAAGTTGGATTGCGAATACATAATCCGCATGATGCAACAGATAATCCAAATGTTATTGTTGAATATGTAATCTAAAAGAGCGGTTGAATCAAGGGATTCAATTCTTAGCTGCCACGAGTAAACATATAAAGCAGAAAGGCCAACATATGTAATCTAAAAGAGCGGTTGAATCAAGGGATTCAATTCTTAGGTGCCACAAGTAAACATATAAAGCAGAATAAGTGACTTAAAGAAGGAAAGCAATCTGCAGCCTAAGAACATGGATGCTCCATAAAGGGCAGTGGACTAAAGTACTAATTTTATTACTAAAATCCTATGGGAATAGAGCAATTCAAAGGCCTGCAGAGTCTTTTCTCTGCCACCTTTTAGCTGGTGGAGCTTTCCCAATATCTTCATTTCAACCAGTCTGTGGGAGAAGTTGAACAAAAGAACATTTTATTTACTTTTGTTGGTCAGCAAAGATAATTCAAACCAACACCCACCCAACTGAGGGAACTGTTTTTACTAAGCCAAACAAATAAAAAGAGAATCTTATTGCAGCTAGAATATTATGAACCATAGAAGCAAGTTCTTCTTTTTAATTTTTCCCTTCTTTTTTTTAGGCAATGAAACAGGCAAAGATATTACAACAGGTAATGGCATATTATATAACGTAATCAATCAGAATATGAAATATAGCACGAGCAAAATTGCCATACAGAACAGTGCAAACGTATATAGAATATACATTAATATACAAATTTGGTAAATAATCTGAATAAAGAATATTCAAGTTGTATTCACATGCTTAAAAGAATTACTGCAACAATTTTATAAATACTAACTTGGAAAAATTAATCAAATCCTCTACTACTAATCAGTACCTAGCATCATACATGAACTTAATTCATTACTCATTAGTCGAGCATTCAATAATAAGCTAAACATGGATTAGCATAACATTTACTTTCAACCAAACTCAGATCCAATATATGCAAGATATACCAGGGAACAAAAAAAATCAAAGAACCACAAAAGTTTCCTTCATGAATGCCATCCAACCTTTAGTACATGGGAACGAATCCACTTCATTTCATCTAACACTTGGCATGTAGCAAACAATCAAAGGCTACTTGGGTACACTCCCAGCAGATCAAAAACCAAATATGTGGTCTTATCAAGTTTTGAATGAAGGACTTAGCATGTAGCAAAAACCAAATATGTGGTCTCATCAAGCATTGTTCAAGTGTTTCCAAAATATTATTCATGATGCTGACAGAGAAAAAAAGACAAGCACTTGTAAAATAAAAAATAAAAATATATATGAATGCAATCTCATTTTCCTAACATAGAAGGTACGATCATATTCAACCAAAAGACACTCAAGAAATTAAGTCTATAGTCAATTTCCTAATCCTAATAGAGTTGGCACAATCCATATTGAGGGCGGCATATGGTTATGTGAAGGATCAAGAACGTAATGCTCCCCAAAGCTTCCATTCTCTATGTTGAAGATACCAATGTCGCGACGCCCAAATGGGAGACGGAATAAAATGTCAATATAATCATCTATGTGGAATATTCGGCTGGCACCTGGACCATTTGGAAGCTGAAACCACCCCAAAATCAACTGCAAAAATCTGGCATTTATAATATATGACAATCATATACGACATAAATCTCTCTTTATCTATGTAAATCCAAGCTTCATCTCTTGCCCAAATAAATGCCATTCCACAGCAACCACTATAGATGGCGGTAACAAAATAGTCATCAGGAGATGAAGCAGGGTCAACTGACAATGTAGCTTTCGTAACTGCAAACTCAACCTGAATAGGTGTTGTGTCATACTCAAATTCAAAGTCAACCTCAATATCATCTTCACTTTCATGAGGTTTGAATATTAAGAGGTCTATAATTGGAGGAAGATCAATAGCACCACCAGAAAATGGGTTCATTAGGGTTAAGCCAATGTTTCTTCAACAACAAACCATCAACAATGTGAGGAACAAGAGGTATAATTTATTATCAGTGATGTGTCTTGAAATAAGAATCCCACTCAAGGAATATTTTTGTTTTTGTTGAAGTGGTCAATGATAAGCACTGAAAAAACCCTTAATCTTGAGTATACTAAGACCTTATTCTATCTTATTTCTCTGCTTTAATCTAATTTTATGTTTTTCGCCTTTTCAGGCACTTCTCCCCAAAATAAGTCAAATCAGCTTGAATTAGAGCATTGAAAGAAGCAATCCAAAGTATAGTGCAAAGAAGGAGCAAAGTGGTGAAAATTCTCTGTTCGATCAATCGAACCATGCCATGATCGATCACACTGTGATCATTCCAACCCTGCCTTGATAGATCGAACCCTTGTCCTTATCCTCCGGAAAATTTCCTATTCGATCGATCCAACATTTTCTTTGATCGATCGAACCTTTTGACCTTATCCTCATAACCACTTTTGTCCTTTTCCCCATAAATATCTCAGCCTTTGTCCTTATCCATATAATTGCGCCGCCATACTTCGATCGATCGAAGCAACAATGTGATCGATCAAACTATCTCAAAATTCGTGCAAAACATATTTCAGGCCCAATTGAAGGTGTGCTCGTGGTGCAATCCTTTGGAAGTCCTAGTGCACGAGGTCTAACCATTGGGTATGACATTTGAACTACCTATATAAGGAAATTGGCTATTTTTAGTAAGGAGGTTGGTTAGTTACATATTGGCTAGAGATTAGAGAGAGATAATATACACATTTTGGGAGGATTCTTCCAAGTGCTAGGGTTTCTACCAAGAACACCAAGAGGAGGAAGATGAATCCAACCATGAAGAGAGCCCTTGAGGGTTGGATGACAACCATGAGTGGCTAGATCATTCTCTTGGGGCTAGAGATGGCCCTAGGCTTGCTTCCTAAGCCTTAATACTTTGTAATTAGTAGGGATTTGTGTTGTAAATATTGTATTGACCTCATGTTTATATAAATCTTGTTTTTACATAATTTGTATGGTTTAATGTTTCCAATTAATCTTTCAATTCTATTCATATGTCTATGTGTGATGGAATGGATGATTATGTACTCACACTTGATTCTTTACATTTGGTGCATGTGTATGTGTATTAAAATAATGAATCTAGTGTCGATCAATGCATGGTGCTTAATTGATTACTCTTGTATTTTATTTTATGGACTATGCTTATTTCTTGATGGGTTGTGCTATCTCATTAGTTTAATTAGTTTAATTTCCTTGTCATTTAGTGTAATTGTAGCATAGTTGCTTTAATTTCCTAGATAGGTAGACAATCCATTCTTGTTGTTTGATGGTCCATGCTTATGAGTGCAAGTAGTGCATTTTTCTAGATTTTTGTGTGTATTGATTGTGGATTTATTGAATGGTTAATGACTTAATTTGATAAGTTGTGCTACTCACTAGATTGATTAGATAATTTATGCTTAATTTGCCATCCATGCTTAGTATTTCAATTAATGGCACACAAATTTGTTTTATAACATGGAATCCCCCTAATTCAACAAATGTTAAATGTTTAGTAAAGTAAAGCTTAGTGGTGAACTCTATATCCCAAGACCCCTCTCTCATTCTCTACACCTCATTTCCTTTAGTTTGCTTGACATTGCATTGTTTTTAATTAATCGTAGCATAATTCAACCAACAAACCACTCTCTTTGATCATTCGACCTACTAATCCGATTTCAATTCCAAAGTATCTTGCAAATCCCTTAAGACGATCCCTTTTCACTCATACTACATAGTATAGTGTTAAGTGATTTTTATAAATTCTAAATGTGGTGGCCACTTCTCACACTCACACTTTTTACATCATTTTGAGGTATCGGTCACGTCAACACCAGTCAAATCTGGGTCAAGACAAAATTTTAGAAGGGCATAGAGAATTCATTTCATACCACTATAATAAAATAAAAATAAAAAAACATAAAAAAAATTACACTCTTAGAAAGTTATATTCCCTAAAAGAGACTTTTTTTTCGAACAGAGGGAGTAGAAAAAAGATCCTTCATTTGCAAAACAATAAAGAGACCCAGTAAATTAATGCATCCACTCAACAAAAAGATAACAATAATGTTGGAGAATATTATTATACGAATGATTAAAGCCCTTAAATCACTCCTTGACAGCATATTGATGCGAGTGAATGATGGGAGTAATTTTAGGAATGTTTCCAGTATCATATTTCTCACAGTTTTGTATTCTTTCACCTATATATAGAGGTAATCATTGTATACAAAAACCAAGAGAGTATATCTTTGTGTGCCATGGATGTAAACCCTAGTGGCTGAATCGCGTATATCTTTGTGTCCTTCATTTTTTATTTCTCTCTTCAATTTTGACAAATAATAATAAAAAATAAAATAAAATTATATATATATATTTATATAAAGGATAAAATCAAACGTGCGCATTTTGTTGCACCGTGTTCCCCCGTGGTTTCCTCTGTTAGACACATGCCCCCATTCATCCAAAATTTGGCAAGTGACATGAGAATAATTGGTTGCAGTGACCAAAATACACATTAACTAAGAGGCAAAGACGCTATTAACCTTACATTGTCACCAAATTAGAAAACAACCTTACTTAAATTGACGAAAATAGCCTTATATGTAATATGTAAAAGAGACCCACAATGAAATGAAAGGGAGAGTCAAATGCAAATGGGATAAACTTGTATATACATTATATAGATACAAATATAGTCCTTAAAACACCTCTGCTGTTGATTTATACAAATCAAAGTAGAGAGAGGGTTGACTGTGCAATCATTATATATATGCCAAAATAATCAGTAGGATTTAATTAATTGGTAAACACAAGTATTGAATGATAGTAATTAGATTCACTAATTTCTTGTTCTTAAGGAATGTATGATAGTAAAGTTACCTTCAGTTTCTCTCTCCTGGCTTGGAGTAACTTGGCTGCTCAGTCCATGATTATTGTTTCAAAACAGTGCACGCCATCCAGATCCCGTGCGAACCTCGGTCTCATCCTTTGCCGTTCTGGACTGTTCGTCGTCTTAACCAGCGATTGCAAAGCCTAGGTAGATGAATTTCCTTCTTTGCTCCTTCTCAAACTCTCAATCATAGCCTTCTTCTTTCGATCCACTGCAGACGCGTCCTTCTCCACTTTAGAGGGACCCCAAGAGAAGCCAACCTTCTGGTCTAACTATTCAGCACACAGGAACTCAAAAGAACTGAAAAATGACATCATCGTGATCGTCTTCTCTGTTGAAACTGTGTTTACATATATAGATATTATAACTTTTATGTTTACTATAATATTAGGGGTGTAATAGACATTTCACACATAAAGAGGGGTTAAACCATTAAAGGGGTGTCAGTGCAACAAAATGCATAAGTTTAATACCATGTGTAATTAGGGTAAACCTCAAGGGAGGCCAGTGAAATTTATCCAAAAAAATGAAAAGAAAGAAAGATAGCTAAAAAAACATGTTAGTCTCCTTCAAGTAGCCTTTTTATTCTCAACCTTGAAAAATATAAGTCTATAACACATGTTGGAGCTTAAAAATGCTAACTATAGAATATTGAGATATTAAGCTTACGCATAAAGGTTGGAGCTTAAAATAAGGGAAAAGAAATCAACTCTTCTTTTATATTTTCAGCATAAAGACTAGAACACCTATTGAATAGTGAGGAAAGGACTCATTTTTAACAATTAAACAGATCGATGAACTTATAGAAATTCAAAGAAAGTGTTGTACGAAATGAACATTTAAATATTTGAGTTTATAAATTTCTGAAAGGTAGTCTGCAATTTTGAAATTTCTGTCTAAGCCTCTGACGACGAGGCCGCTTGATATACGCCCAAATAATGTAGTGAATGTGTGGTTCAAGAAAAGCCTTTTAGGTCAAGTTTAAATTTATAAAAACCACTACCACCACTACTACTAACGTAGCAAGAGTGAATAGGGATCGTCCCAAGGGATTGGAGTCGAATTTGGTTGTGGAATCTCTATTAGGGTTAGTAGGTCGAGTGATCAAACAAGAATTGGTTGGTTGGTTAAATTAAACTAGAGAGCAAATTAAACTAAATAATTGAATGCAATAAAGAGTAAGTAAGAGAGAGAGAGATCTTGAGGTTTAGAGGTCACCACCAAACAATACTTTTCTACACCCTTAACAAGTGACTAATGAGGGAAATGTGTATTGCAATATTGATGTGTGTGTGTGTGTTTGGTTGATTCAATTAGCAAGGATGACCAATTAAGTGTATATTGTCTAAGCAACATGTTAAAAGTAAAATATATCTAACAAGTATATATTGTCTAAGTAGCATGTGACAAGCACAATATATCTAACAAGTCATTAATCCTTTCATTAAGCTCACAAGCCAAATACACCACAAGGTTAGAGACATATGCTACTTGCATTCAAAAGAATGGAACATCAAACGAAAAGCATGGATTGTCCTCCCATCTAACAACTATACTACCACTACACTACAATTAAGCTAATGACATAAAGTTAAACTAATTAAACTAAGGGAGAGGCATAATCCATCAAGAAATGAGTATGAACCATCAAGAAAATTACAAGAGCATTCCATTAAGCACTATGTTTTGACAATCTCTAGATCTATAGCATCAATACACATAAACATGCATCAATAACACAAGAAATAGAGACAAACACATGAACATCTATTCTAGCATACATAGACATATGGATAGAATGAAATGATCAATTGGAAGCATTAAACCACATAAATCATTAAATAAACAAGATCTATATATATAAAAGTGTCAAAACATGTATTACAACACTAATCCCTCAATAATACACAAAATCAAGATGTAGAAAGTATGCTTAGGGCTAACTCTAACCCCAAGAGGATGTCTAGTCACTTATGGTAATGCTTCTCCAACCCTCAAGGGCAAACTCGATGGAAGAAATCTACTCCTTGGTTGATGAAGAGCTCACAAGCTTGTGTCTCTAGCCTCTTCCTCTTTTCTTCCTCCCTAAGAATAGCCTCTATTGTGATAGATGGATCTCTCTCAAAAAGTGTATCATATTCTATATATAGGTAGGTCAAGTGACACCAAAATGAGCTGGGGTCGTGCACAAAATATTCCCCAATGATTGGATAAAGGACAACTTTTGTGAGCTGGAAATTAAACTTTTTCGCACTGGAGGAAGTTCGATCGATCGAACCTTGGACTTAGATCGATCGAACGTGGCTGAGATCTATCGAACTGAAGTTGGATCGATCCTCAATGGCGACGCCTTTTTGGATAAAAACAAATCTGAGATATTTCGAAGATATTTTTGAGAAAAGGACAAAAGTGGTTGGTAGAGTGGTACAACTGGATAAGATCAATCATTTGGATAAGGACAAGGTAGTTCGATCGATCGAAGAATGATGTTGGATCGATCGAACTTTTGAGATCTCTGAAAATGTCATCATGGCTCAGATCCATCTTGAAGTGCTGAGATCGATCATGTTGGATCGATCGAACTCTGATCTGAGATCGATCGAAGATGTTGAATTCCACCTTTTGCTTCATTTTGCTTCTACTTGGCTCCTTTCTTTGATTCATCCCAGAATTGCTTCCTTTATACTCTTATTTGGCTGAGTTAGCTTATTTTCAGGATAAGTGCTTGAAAATGGAAATAACACTAACTCAATCTAAAACGGTAAAGTAAGATACATAAAGGTTCTAGAATACCTAAGCTTAAGAGGTTTAAATACGCACTTTTCAGCGCTCATCAGCCTCTACTAAATTGCAGGGAAGGAGGAACCTATGCAATTAAATTTAAATGATCGTAAGTACTCGATTTCCCCCTCCTCTTTTACCTAATTTACCTGTTAAGGAAAAGATTTAAAATTACCATGACCACATAAAGGTCTAATTAGTGGTTTCAGGTAATTGTATTAAGTACACTGGCAATTAAATTTAAATGATCGTAAGTACTCGATTTCCCCCTCCTCTTTTATCTAATTTACCTGTTACGGAAAAGATTTGAAATTACCATGACCATATAAAGCTCTTAGCCAGATTTAAAGAAAAATGTTGCACTGATGTCACGCCCCAGCTGAGCCCTAACCGAACATAGTTGAGCTTCAATAGCTGCTTTAGATTCAGATTTAAGTTCCAATAGCTGCTTATGATTCCTAATCAACAACATGTTTTTATTTATTTAGCACTAACAACACATATATGTCAAATATATTTCAATGGGAGATGGAAAGAGAGGTTTGTACATGCTGCTAAATCAGCTCCAATACACAAACTTATATATAATATACATGTTTATATGCTCATGTAAACAAGAATTAGGATTCACGAATTAAAAGTACTATTATCCTACTATCCTATTATTAGATAAAGGACCTCTCCCTCTTAATTAACGAATTAAAATCCTCTCTAATACAAAGGCAAGGAAGCATAAATTGGCTATGTAGCAAGTTTTGTTTCTTTGGCACACAGTAGGCTCCAACAACACAACATGGTGTCCCCTTTGAAAGATTTGAAAATGTCCGGTTCAATAGGCTTGAAACTGCTCGGCCTACCTTCACTTCCTAAGCAAATCAATCTACTCAGATTCCTACTTCTTTCAGCCAAATCTACAAAGAACCATCAAGAGTTCACGTAACAAACCTTGATTGGTATAATAAAATAACCGCCAGATTTCAGGGCTACAACAATTATGAAATACAGCGGTGTACATATCTTCTGAGTGCTGTCAAAAGTTAAAAGAACTACCACCGTAGCCTATATACCGACAGATATCTGCTATCATAGTTTTTTATTATAAAATGGCCACCTTATGGCGGGACATGACTGCTATCCAAAGGCTGCTTATGGCGGGACATGACTGCTAATTCTGGGGTTTTTCCAGCAGATATAACCACTGCCATATACTTTGAGAATTCTAAGCAATTATGACAAATTAAGCAGCTACAAAATGTCTACAAAATGGGGGGATAAAATGCTGAATCATCAATACCAATATAAAAATATAATTAACGAGATGAAAATTATATATATAAAACAGTAGCTGGTTGACATGTTACTGGCATATACTAAAAGGATAATTACTGAGATGAATCTATAAACTTCTTAGTTTGATGTCTTCCCAAATGATCAAAACAATTAAAAACATTGAAGCCCTACTAACAGGGTAACATAATGTCTATTCCATTAAATTTCAAAAATGACATAAACTCAGTTCCCAACTTGTTCAAAGAAAATTCGAATTAGGGTGCAATTATCCCAAAATATGAATATAAAGTATCTTAACTGCCTCACATCCTTAACATAATCATTAAACCATAAGGAAGTAGAAAAAGATAATGAAATTCTAGATAACCATTCTGCACGTGTTATCCTATTCGTCAAGCAACCTGAAAATAGAATATTAAAAAAACAAGGGAAAAAAAAAAAAAAAAAAAAAATTTAAAGCTAACAATAGTTCTATCATTCAATTTATTAAGTGCATAATTTTCTTTTCAACCTTTTTTTTTTTTGGAAGTTAAAGCATAAGCACAGACTCATTATCTGAAATATGTCCCTAGTGGGACTCAAACTCTCAACCTTCCTTTCGCCCGGGGGGAGGGGGTGTGTGTGGTTGTGCCACGGGGCTAGAGGCCCAATGGTTGTTAAGTGCATAAGTTGCAAACATAGAAACCTCAACAAAAAAAAGTGCCATGCAAAGAACACATGAAGCATTGGTAATCCAAGTGACTAGATCAATAGCAAATAGAAAAGGTTTTAACTCTGAACTACAAAAAAGTTACAAGCTCAATAGTGTTCTTTGTTCTAGTTATAGATTACTGTGAAAGCTAAAATATTAGCAAAAGAATTCATCTATATTTTACAATACTTTCATATTTTCATCAGGCATTGCTAGTGATAGAAACAAACATTGATTCTTAACTTGGTTTAAGAGACTGAACATCATAAGTTAAAGAGATGATAATAGGCTTACTTCAATGTAATAAATTAAGTTTACAAAATGATATCTGATTTGAAGCACCCTTTATTATTTGTAAACTGTGTGCATTTGGTTATATAGAAGAAAGGTCTTTCATTTGCCAAACAATAAAGAGACCCAGTAATGCATGCCACTCAATAAAAAAATCAAGACACGGTTTGTCTCCTTCAGGTACCCTTCTTATTCTCGACCCTAAAAATTGAAGTTTATAGGGAGGACAAAGAACATGGCCTACCCAGTCCCTGTTAAATTCTGCCAAATTAACCCATATTGGCCATGGCCTCAACTTGGACAATGTTCACATTGGTTGCACCAGCTGCTTATATTCTGCAAGCAAATCTGGTTTACAATTAGGAAAAACAAGAATGGGAGGAAGCTACCTCTAGGGCCAAAAGTCCTCCCAATTTTGGGACACCTTCATATGATAGGGAAGTTCCCTCACCGAGATCTTCATCGGCTAGCCAAAAAATATGGTCCCATCATGTACACGCGCTTTGGCTTCGTCCCCAACATCGTCGTCTCATCCCCAGAAGCAACCATACAGTTCCTTAAGACCCGTGACCATGTTTTTACTAGTAGGCCAATTATTCAGGCTCATAAATATGTGACTGGCAAACAGACTTGATTTTTGCTGAATACGGCCCATATTGGCGCAGTGTGCGCAAATTGTGCACCTTAGAGTTAGATTTCTGATCAAATCAATCAAAGAGGCGGCTCAGGATCATGGTGGTGTTGATCTTAGTTCCAAGGTTTCATCCATGAATGCAAAAATGACTTGTTGGATGATGTTTGGGAGAAGTACACGGATGAGGACTTGGATGAGAGAGGGTTCAAAGCTATGATGGAAGAGGGCATGTACTTGGCAGTCACTCCCAACATTGCCGATTACTTCCCCTATGTCAGAGCACTTGATCTTCAGGGACTCTATAGGCGATTTAAGGCTCATAGCAAGGTCTTTGATGAATTTTTTGAGAAGATCATTGATGAGCATGTTCAAGCTAGGGACCAAGGCCAAACCAAGGACTTTGTTGATATCATGTTCACACACAAGGGATCTGAAGATGCAGACTATCTTATTTGTCGGTCCGGTGTCAAAGCCCTTATGTTGGTACTTTGATTGAACTTTTATGCCAATTTTAGGATATGATATCTATACATAATCTTCCTACCATTCCAATTGATTCTATTTTAACCAAATTACATTTGAAAATTTCTTTTTATGTTTTATTGTCCTCCCTACTAGTTTGCAACTTTTCTTTGCCATCGGTGTCTATGGTAGCAATTGCATTTCGTTGTTTAGTATACTGCTAATGATTTCTGCCATTGATAGTAAAAGGCTAAAACTCATGCCATCATGCAATTGCAAAATCCAATAAATGGAGACTTGCTTATAGTTCAAGAGAGAGAACATAAATTATTCACCCAAATAAACAATAATTGTTGCATTTTCTCAGTGCCTGCATCAAGTTTACACCAAAATAAGAATCACTTAACCAATTTCTAGAAGATAAGGAAAAGTACGAATAAAAAATAAGATTTATCACTAACAATCAGGTAAGAACACCTACTTTGTGAAACACAACTGATCGGATTATTTTGTTATAAGCTAAGTTCACATCAGTGTGTTTATGAGCAGCATAATTGTGCAGAATTGCCTGCAATAATAATCACATATAGAGGCATTTGACCCCTGCCGACAAACTTACCTTGGCTACTCAACAAGTATGTGCAACAACACAGGATTTAGAAACCATGCCAAACCAATGATTATGTTATGATCTGCATTACATGTCAGCAGATCATGTCAATTGCAGGGTACTAAGGGCTAGTTTGGTAGGGATGAATGGAATAAAAGAAAGTGGAATGGAATGATTTTCTTTCCATTCTTTGTTTGGCGCATGCTTTTAAAGGTAAAATTGTCATTCCTCACCATTCTCTGAGAATGGTCATTTCACTAAAATCATTCCTTCTCTTGACCAATGGAATGGACACTCCATTCCCGCGTGGAATAAGATTAAAAAAATTATGACCAAAAGACCCGATCATTGTTGTGCTTCACCGAATCTGGGTTGATGCAATGGGTACTACAAAGGCGAGCCGAAGCGGGAGTACCACCGTCGATCATCACAACTCTCGCAGCCTCCGTCTTCTTCATCTTTCCATTTGATTTCAATTGTGTATAATTTGCTTTTTGCAGCAAAATTGGGACATATATTCAAATTAGGGGAAACCAAGTGCCAACGATTATGAGGTTTTGATTGTGAGGTTTTGGTTGTTTGAAGAATCAAATGGTGGAACATACAAGAACACAACACAACCAACCCTTTGCGACGAGCTCCTCCAAGAAATCTTCCACCGCCTCCCTCCGCCATCTTCCTTCACTGCCTCTCTCATCTCCAAGCGCTAGCTTCGCCTTTGCCGCCTCCCTCCGCTGTCTTCCTCCGCCGCAGACAAATTCGACTTCCTCATCTTCCTCCGTCTTCCTCTCTCGCTACCCTTATCTCTCTTCCCTCTCTCACCACTGCCGCCAGAGACAAATTCGCCTTCTCTCCATCGCCTCTTCTTGCCCCAATCTTCAACCCTCGCTTCCTCACTTGCCCTGTGATGCAGGAGCATTATGAGGCTCTCCAAGACTAATCAGGCCCCCTAGCCGACTAGGCTTAGGTTCTATTTATCTTGGGGTTTTAGTTATTTGCTTATTTTCTATGTGTGTTATTTGATTTTTATGTTTTGTGTTATTTGGTAGATGAGAGTTATAGTCCTAGTCTTTTTTAAATAGTCATGTGACTGCCATTTGAGTTTTTAACTACTTTGGAGGGTTGAGATTTATTAGTTATTGAAGTAATCAAAGGTTAGGATGCTAGGGCTGCTGTAACCCTAGTATAAATAGTCTATTAAGAGACTTTGTATGGAGTTTGGATTCCAGAAAATCAAATTTAGAGTTTCCCTCGGGTGTCTTTGCCCCTAGAACTCACCTATCTAGGTTCCACTTCGATTCTATTGCTTTATCTCTCTGTTTTTCTGCTTGTTTATTGCTGGAAATCCTTTTTTTTCATTGTTTTACACTGTTACAGCTGCTGGACAGCAGCTTATCGCTTCTACCCTGCATCACCCTGTAATTTCTCTCTATCTCTTGCCCCAATTTCACTTTTGATGTTAATTTTTTTTGTTAAGTTTCTTTATTAATGATAAAGGGTAATTTTGAGAAGACAATATAAATTCATTCCATTCCAGCTTTTAAATTGGTCCAACCAAACAGAGGTATGAGAATGATCATTCCATTTTTACAGCATTCCATGTTTGCAACCAAACACTAGAATGAGAATGGTCATTCAATTCTATTCCCATTCCCATTCCATTCCCACCCATCCTATTTCATTCCTGCGTACCAAACTAGCCCTAAACTTCCTTGGCATTATTTCAGAGCATCAAAACACATGTCCTAAAGTCATGTATGATGAGCTATATTTTCTTCTGATATTGACAACTCCTAAATTCTGCACTTGTTTATACAACATACATTAAATGAAATATGTCCCCTCTGAATCAAACTTTTCCTTGCCATAATGGTTCAGTGTATGATAGCGTAAATTACAATAAACTTAAAGCAAAACCAGATCAATCATTTTTTTCCCTCAATCTTTCTCTTTCAACTCTTCAAATGCCAAGAGTTTGTACAAAAACTATAAACATCATCTAGCACAATTTCCATTTCATTTCAAAACAACCAGACAGGGAAATAGAAAATCATGTGCAGGAAATCAAAATTTCTTACCTTATTGCCTGCAGGAAATCAGTCGGCCCAAACCAAACACATGCATTGATGAGAACTTCAACAGTTGAGCCCCAATCAAACAGCTTCAATAGCTACTTTAGATTCCTATTCGAGCTCCAATAGCTGCTTATGCTTCATAATTGGCTAAATGCATTAATCAATTTTAGCCCTTAACAGCACAGATATGGCAAATATATTTTCAAAAGAGATAGAAACAAAGTTCGGTACATGCTGATAAATCAACTCTCATACACATATTTATATATGTATAATATGTTCATATGTAGAGAGAGAGAGAAAGAGTTGACATTGATTTTCCAGTTACGGGACTATGTATTTCAATGAAAATTCTATTCTTGCTATGAAGTGTGAGAAGAGAGAGAGCTAGAGAGAGAATGGCAGCAAGAGAGAAATAAGAGTGATATATGAGAGAAGATAGAATCAGATAGACATTCTAAGAGATTTACAGTGCAGGCCGCGTCACTGGATGAAAATTCTCACCGCAGGAATACTCAATCTAGCAACCACACATGCACAAGACCATCTTTCATGCATTAAAAGATTTTTAGAAAAGAGTTACTAGCAGATCCAGGCCATACAAGGGATGAGGGACTAATTTAAAGAAAGAGAAAACATGTGTAAGAAATAAAATAAAAAAAATTTGATTACTAAACATGTGTAAGGAAGGTGGATAGTCAAGTTGTTCGGTTTTGGCCTCTGTAGCTTTCATCATTAACAGAATGATATCAGAAATACTAAGGTCAGCACGAAATTAGAACTAATCATCTAAACCAGCAAACTAATGCATTGGTAATAGAGATATTGTATAAAAATTTGGCAAAGCATTTTAATAAAGAATATCTAAGCAATCTTCACATGCTTTAAAGAACTACTATAACAGCCCTACATATAAAAACTTATCCGGGGGAATCGGTTGAACACGACTAATCATTAATCAAGCGCTCAATAAAAAGCTAAACATTGATCAGCAATAGATTTACTTTCAACCAAACTCAGATCCATTATTATGAACGAGCCCTCAAGGGTAAATTCAAGAAATGCCATGGAATTTAAAAAATAAAAAATAAAAAACTCAAAAACTACATAGGCTTCCTTCATGAATGTCAATCAATTCTTTAGTACATTTGACCAAACTTAATAATAAACAAGCAACCTCGAGAAATTGCCATACCATGTAACAAGAAATCAAGCAAGGCTACTTGGCGCAACCAAGCAAATCAAATATAAAAAATATGGTCTTAATTCTTGGCCAAAGGACTACAGAGAGCACAATCGATGAGAGCTGGATTGCATTACAAGGACACTTTAACCATCAAGAATTATGATGCGATGTTATTTCCAACCCTCATTTCAAGTAATATACAGTAAATTTCTTCCAAGGAAAAAGACAATAAATTTCTTATAAGGAAAAAGACAGTAACTTTCTTATAAGAAAAAATGAATTGTAACTAAGATATATTTATAATACCATAAAATTTGAGAAAAACCAACAAATAATGTTTAATTATGTCTTACAAACGTGATCTCACGTTTGCTACAGCAAGAGATAAAAACAGATTTTTTTCATCACATAAAAATGATAAGCAAAAAAAAAAAAAAAACTAAATAAATTAGATTGACCAAAAGACATCCGAAACAAATTAAGTCTATACTGAACTTCCTAACACAGTTGGGACAATCCAAATTGAGGGCGGCATATCATTATGTGAAGGATCAAGGATGTAATGTGTTCCAAAGCTTCCATTCACTACGTTGAAGATACCCATGTCACGGCGCCCAGATTGGGGATAGAATATAATGTCACTATAATCATCTGTATAGTATATGGAATTAGGTTCACATCCGGGCCATTTGGAAGCTGAAACACAAATGGAATGACTATCGCCCAAAAACAGGGTGTCTCCACCCAAGTTCTTCACTTCAACCAGCATATGCGAACCCTTCTCAAATTGGTCTAAGAGCATCTTGAAAACCTTAAACCCTGAAGTTGCATGCTATGAATCGTCTACAATTTCTAAAAGCCTTTGTACAAGAAGTAATTCCCCACTAGATGATTCGACAAGATACATGTGTTCATAATAAATAATTTGAGGCGCAATTTCCTTTTCCTCCACTTGCGGAGCCCCAGTCCTATTAACATCAATCATTAGGACTATATCCCTATCAACTGCAAAAATCCGGCCTTTATAATATATGACATCACAGAAGAACATAAATCTCTCTTTATCCATGCAAGTCCAAGCTTCATCTCCTGCCCGAATAAATGCCAGGTTAGAATCACCACCATAGATAGCGGCAACAATATAGTCATTAGGAGACGAAGCAGGGTCAGCTGACAATATAACCTTTGTAACTTAAAAGGAAATCTCAATTTTGCTTAATGAGACCACACTATCAATTGGAGGAAGCTCTATGGTAGAGCCAGAGAACGGATTCATTAGAGTTACGCTAGAGGATTTTTCTATACCAAACAGCCAACCATGTAAGGAACCACAAAGCCTCTCTTTGTAAGGTACCCATAACTGAAAATCACATAGCTTATTATGAGTAATGATGTATAGACTGCGTCGTTCATCGTCTTTATTATCTTTCGAAGGCACTATCAAGAATGGAACTTGTGTGAAAAACTTATTTTGAACAAATTTAAGTTTGTTCTCCATTGCCACAGACTGCCATGGTTTGCAAACCGCACCAAATCGAACAAATTCAGAAAGTGAAACCAAATTGTCCAGAATCATATCCAATAAGTTCTTCGGAAGCCATGCCCAATCTGACTCCTCCAATGACCCCATCAGTCTTTTTTTCCTAATAGCACTGCAATGTGAACAAATCAAAGAATCTATATAATCACAATAACTTACATCGTATCTACAATACTCAATACTCAAATAATTGGCAAAAACTGAATGGGATTTATAATTTTAAACTAAATAATTCACCCAAGAAACAAAAACCAAAAAACAAAAACTTGTAACAAACTTATGATCTAGTATGAAGTTATTGGTGTAATCTCTTTCATCATAAGGGTAACAGACTTGCTACTGACAATTTTAAAAAAAAAAAAAAAAAAACTATTCGATAAAATTAATTTTCAATATTAAAATCTAATTTATACAGTACCAAATCCAAATCCCATATATACTGTGAAATATGAACAATCAAAACAACTTACCTCAATGGCTGAAATAATCTTAAACTTCGCAATTGGCGATGCAAACCAATAATCTTAAGTAAAACTGATCTATATATATAAAGATATAATCTTTTCCTAATAGAACAAAGAGTCGAGCGTTTTATTTCCTGGTCAACTCTTTTTAAAAGTACGACGGCTTAGAATTTTAGGGATAGAGGAGATATAAAAGTCGGGTAAATTGCACTTAAAACCCCCTCACCAATGCTTAAATTGCAGACAGCATCCTTAAAAAACTTTTCATAGCACTGAGCACCCTCAAAGACGAATTTACCATATAACCCACCCTTCTACGTTCAATGAAATTGTCAGATCCAAACACTCCTATGTGACTATAAGTTATATATAATTACCAATGTGACGAAAAGTTATGTATTAGACTAATCTCTCTTTTAATTGAGTAGCCTTTTTCTGAACAAATATATATAGTACTAGTGTGTACGTGTGTGTGTATTAAACTTAAGTTGGTTCTTAACTTTTAATTGAGTTGGGTTTGAATGTTGGTACACTATATATATATATATATATATATATATATATATATATATTGTGAATTTGTGCTCCAAGACTCCCTAGTGGTGAATAACTTTTTAAGGTGGCTAAATTATGAGGAAAAAAAATATAATACTTTGCTCCCTCAAGAAAATAAATGTCATTTTCAATAGAATTTTTTAGAAACTATTAAGATTGTTTAGGAATTGTAAAATCAAAAATTGAATTCTGAAAAAATAAATTTGATTTTTTTAATTTTTTTAAATTTATAAAAATTAAGATTTCTGAGTTGTACACATTAAGAACAATCAACTCTCTGTTTAAAATAAATAAATAAATCAAATCTCCTATCTTTCTTTATGTGTTTCTGGTCTTATTTAATTTAGGGCAATTTATACAAGCCTCTCATATAATTTGTTATAATTATACGGATTTCTCTTCTGGTTTGAGAATTTACTCGGACCTTTCCTAATAATGAAACTATCTTACACGGACCTCCCTTATGTGTGACGGACCGTCAAATATACTGACAGATATGACTAATTTACTGAAATGCCCTTAATTTTTTATGGTAAATGATTAAAGTACCTATATATATTGAGAGAGAGAGAGAGAAAGAGAAAGACAAAAAAAAAATGGACAATGCTTAGCTACTCATCGGTGAGTAGTTTCATCTTACTCATCCCTTATGTGTTTCAATAAAAAAAAAAAAATAACACATAAGTTTTAATAATAAAATTAATAAAATAATAATAAAAAATATAAATATAAAAAAGAAAAAGTGGGATTGACCCGTTTCAATTAGGTAAAAACCCTTTTTCTTTTTTCTCATTGATTCCAAAACACACGCCCTCCTCTCTCTACTGTTATTCTTCTTCACCCTTTCTCTTTTATTTTTCTTTTTCATCACACTTCTTTATATTTCTTTGTCATTGATATCCAACGATCAAGACAATTCCAGTAAAATTCTTTTTTTTCCATAGAAGTGTCTCGGATTCTAGTGCTTAATGCCCCCTAGGGTTATGATCTCTCACCAATTGCGGAAAAATATCAAAATGGTTAAGGAGAACTCTCAGAGGCTGCGTCTGAACGAAAGCATTAGAAATCTGTAGTGGATTCTCCTCTCTAGACTCGAGTTTGGCAACTGATACAATGAAATCTATATGGTAATCTTTCCCTCTGTCTATACTATTTTAGCGCATCTCTTTGATTTGCTTCTATCGGAGGTTCAGCAACTAGCTGATTAATGATGTCCCGTGAAAGTGAGAAGAAGAAGAACAATCGAGAGAGAGGAGGCCGGCATGGTTTGGGAAGCAATGAAAAAGAGCAAATGGTGAAGAAGAAGAATATAGGAGAAAGTTGGAAACCGATGAAAAAGAGGGAAAATATAAAGGGTTTTTAAGTAAGTAAAATGGGTTGATCTGATTTTCTTTTTCTTTTTAATTATTTTGTTTATTTTGTTATTAAAACTGATATGTTATTATTTTATTGGAGCATATGAGGGTGAGTTGGTAAAGTCACTCACTACTAGTGAGTAGTTAAGCATTGTTGAAAAAAAATTAAATCACTGGTTGGGGCCACCACCACCACCTACATAAAACCACCAACCACGCCACCGCCACCAACATCTCTGTTTTCCTCCATCTTTATGTGTGTGTGTGTATATATAATTCAACACAACAATGAGAAAACAAAGACCCAGTACTAGAACAAACAGAATTAACTTGTATCTATTGCCAGATTGAGGTTCTTCTCCTACAGTTCTAAACACAAATACAAATGCAAATTTACAGAAATAATTAGGAATTTAGGACTCAGATTTGTTTTTGCTGTATTGGGTTTTCAGAACTAATTACTTGCTTGAACACCAAAGTGTTCTAGAGAGAGAAAGAGAGGTGATCCTTGAGCTGGGTTGCGTTCCTCTTGCGCTATGGGGTTGGGGAAAGATGGGTATATCTGATCTGAGAGAGGAGAGAGAAGAAAAATTCAAGGTCAAAAGGCATTGTAGAGAGAGAAGAGGCGAGCGAAGGCAAAGATTGCAAGAGATTGGGAAAAGTTGTAATGGGTGGGCATTATGCTATCCAATCCAATCTGATCTTCTTCAAGAAAAACTGAGTTTTGTACGTGAAGAATAACTGATCATGTTTTTAACAAAAAAAAAAAATAACTGATCATGTTTAACATCAAAGCCAAGTCTGAGGTTTTCGTACACTAGTCTCAAATTGCTCTTTTATACAGATCCCAAAGAGTCTCTCAAAACTGGAATAATCCCTATAACCCCCATTTTAAATGGTTCCTGAGTTCCATCCGCATACTGATATTTCATCCCCTCCCTAAATCAGACGATAATGGAAGTATAGTACAACAAGATGATGTAGTAATCACAAAAGCTTACCAAAAGTTATGATGTAGTAATCACAAAAGCTTACCAAAAGTTCTTAATTGTCAACGAATCTTTCGGGTTTGCAGAAATAGTCTTTGACAAAAACAAATCAAAATCATAAAAATTAATCGAAGTCATTGAATGATGATGGAATTATAGAGAGAGAAAGAGAGACAGACTTTTAGAGAGAGAGAGAGAGAGAGAGAGTGTGTGCGTGTGGGTGTGTGCCGTGTTATTTTAAAACGAGATCAAAATCAAAACTAAAATAATATTGCAAGAATTGTATGAATTTGTTACGCGTGTTGTCTGAATTTGACCCATTTTTTCTCTGTAAAATTGCAATCGAATATAATGGAAGGAAAGTTCATATATGATATTTTTAATTTTAGAAGAGATCTTGTAAATTCTTAAATCAGATGAAAGGTCTTTATAATTATGACAAATCATAAAATAAAAAAAATTGTATAAATTACCTAATTTATATTGTTTTGATCATTTTGTTACACTTTTAATATGTTTTTTAAAACACATCTAACTTGGAACTCAAAAATATATTATCAACAAAGTTATTAAACTTACGTCACTTGAATATATAATATCGAAGCCAAACTAAATATAAATTTATTATAATTTATTTTTATTGAAAATATAATTCTTTCATGAATCATGATACAATAATTTATTTTAGAAAGATTATTGCTGGGATATGTTGGCAAAATAAGAATTAATTCATTGTTAATATCATATAGTTTTCCAACCATTAACCGTGGGAGCGGGAACATTAATAGATTTAGCATACAAAAAAATCTAATTTGAATTTAAACATTATTTGTTTGATTTTTAAATGGGATGGACGGAGTGTGTTGGATAGTGGATGGAATGGTTGAGAAAAAAGTATAGGATTTTAGAATGCTCCAAATAATATCTGAAATATCTTTATACAATGGTAGATTATTCAAGAGATTTTTAGACTATACATACTTATACAATTTCAAAATTTCAAAAGAGTTGTTTCATCTTTTGACAATAATTTTCACATAATTTTTCATCTAGATTACATCATGGACATTGTTATGTGTGATACTAATGCAAAACAACATTCTTGTCGTTCCAAAAACTGCACCGTTTTAGAGCACTAAGCACCCTCAAAATCGAATTTACCATATAACTCACCCTTATACCGTAAATGTACTTGTCAGATCTAAACACTAACTTCCGGAACATATATATATATATATATACAACCTGATCTCTTGAAAAGGAGATATATACATGAATTTATTTAAGCATGTGAATAATAGTAAATAATAATAAATTCAGCTCAGAAATGTAAAAACATAGTGAAAAATAAAACGAATGAAAGGAGGAGTATAAAAAACTTACCTAATTTTAAACCTCAGAATTAATGATGAGTACAGTGAGGTGTGTTGAGTCTGCTCGACTGCTCACCAATAAATATATATATATATATGGTTGCTTGCAATTCCTAAATATTCTTTCCCTAGTCAGGAAAGGTTCAAAGAATCCTAATACAAGAAGGATAAGGTTTTATTTCCAAAAAATTGTTTTGTAGGAATAGATATTATAATAAGGATGATAAATTGCAAAAACCCGAAATAGTATTATATAAACAATAATAACAAATTAAAAATTACTAATACCTCACCTTTATTTGGAACCAATTATTTTCGGATTTGGAAAAGGAATAGGAATTGGAATTATAATGAAATTCCATTTATATGTTTGGAACAAATTGGATTTAAAGTTGGATTTGAAATAAAAATAATATTATACCATTTTTGTTCTTGTTTAAATGATAAATGATATATTTATTTTATTATAAAATATATTTCAAAATTACATCAAATAGACAAACAACGTGAATGACTGACTACACGATAGAACTGAAGCATAAAATTTATTTAACAAATCAATTATTAAAGAACAATTATTTATTAATAAAAAAAAACTTAACTTATTCAACTACCACCACCACATACTTAAACCAACATATTAAAAAAAAAAAAAAAAAAAAAAAAAAAAAAAAAAAAAAAAAAAAAAAACAGAATACTAAAATGTAAATTTAAGTCTAAGCATTGATTTAATTAATATTTTAAATAAGTTTATTTATTAAATACTAAACATGCTTATTAAAGTATATTAATTACTTTGTAACAAAAATAATATGTATATTAACAAAAGTTTATATAAATATATATTGATAACTAATTATTATATAAATTACTCAGCAA